ACACACACACTTATTTAATAGACTTGTCCCCGCCCATCTCCCCACAATATATCCAGATTCTATTGTGTTGGGGCAGCCTATTAACTTCAGTCTGGAACTCCATGTCCCTTATTCTTTGAATAATTAATTGCTTGACTTGATCATAACCTAATAGTATTAAGAATGGTGGAGGAAGCCTGTATGTAACCAACTTATGCTCTACTGCCTGCTTCCAGGTGAAGAAAAGCTGTCTGTTAACACTAGGAGGGGGTCAATCCTACTGGGAAAAACTGGATTTTGAGCCAATAAGTTATCGTCTTCCAAGCCCTAAACTGAATTAAAGGCATTCCTGTCTTGAGTCTTAATTGGGCATTAGATGTTCCATTGGGTGCAGCTAAAATCGACTGCAGGAATTTTGTTTGCACTGTTTCCTGTGGCTCCTTCTTCATGTAGATTCCTGTTTGTGCCCCATAAAGAATTTGAGCCAATGTTTTGGCCTCAAAGAGTTTTAAGGCCACAGGGACTAATTGTCCTCCGCCTGTGTAAAAGAAACGTTTAATGGCATTCATTGACCTAAGGGCTAATTGCACCACATAATTCTGGTGTGTGTTCCAAGTACCATTTCAGTGGAAAACCACCCCAAGGTATTTAAATGCATTAACCTGCTCCAATTTATGTCCTTCTATTCTCCAGGAATGTTGAATAGCTCTCTTAGCGAAGACCAGAATTTTTGATTCATCAAAGCTGAGAATCAAATGATTTTGTCTGCAGTACCTCAATGTTGCTACAATTGCTCTTTTCAATCCAACAGGGGTTTGTGAAATTATAGCGGTGTCATCAGCGTAAAAAAGTATTGGGATTTGGCGCTGTGCTAGATTGGGTGCATGAATATCCATATTATATAAAAGGTCCATCAATGAATTAATATAAAGATTAAAAAGGGAGGAAACAAGAATACAGTACATCCTTATCACACTCCTTTCTGCACATTTACTGTGCCAGAAAAGGTCCCGTGGGGATTACACCTCTCTCTTAGGGTGGAATTGGAATATAATTTCTGTATGAAATAGAGAAGGCACCTATCTATGGTTGTATTTTTTTAATTTTTCCCAAAGGACATTTCTGGCTAAACCAAGGCAAAGGGGCAAGAGTAGTACAGCAGAAACAGCTGGGCATCTGATCACCATTGCACTGCCCACCTGCCTGCCTTTTCAGGGCAACTCCTCCTCCACCCTTCCACCTTCAGTTCTCCGTGCCTTGCAACTGAGGGAGGCATAATGGTGATGTGGCCAGTTAGGAGTAAGTGGACAAGGCAGGTGGGCAGGAATTTGGTAGAAAACCTTCTAGTGCTGATTGCCTTAGCTTGCTAAATCCTTCTCAGCTCATCTTCTCAATGTAGGCAGGCTTCTGAGTCTAGATATGCTGAAGGAACACACAACAAGGTGACATAGTTAGGCTGCTGAGCAACACCACAGCTAAATAGTTTAACTGAGAAACAGTGAAGTGCGGTGGTTATGGTACTGGACTAGGACTGGGAAGATACAGGTTCAAATTCATTCTCATCCGTTGAAAATCACTGGCTGATTGAGCCACTCATTCTCTCTCAGACTAATGCAACTCACAGGGTTGTTGTTGCAGAGATAAAATGAAGAAAGATCCCCACATAAAGCATCTTGAATTCTGCGAAAAGTGGGAAGTAGATCAACAAATTAAACAGATTAAATATATGAAAACTATGGAATGCTGATATTTTTACATTATATAACTAATAAAAATGTAAAGTACTTTATATTGTTTTATATAAACTATTGTTCTTTTTCATTAAATATGTCTTTCAGAATTTTTAAAATTTTAAATGCTTTTAAAAATATAAATATCCAGGGGATTCTGGAAATAAAATGGAAGGAAGGAAGGAAGGAAGGAAGGAAGGAAGGAAGGAAGAGAGAGAGAGAGAT